GTTAAGAACAACTGCAAGTTTCTAAATAACTGCTTCTTTAACATCTCTTACCTTTTTTTTTAAGTAAAGACTTGTTAGTAGTGTAAATAAACTAATAAAAGAGGGGAATTTCAAGTTCAAACAAAGTACCATTAAGCAATGATTATGTTGAATCTAGCATAATTTCTTTCTCCATATTATCTTCAAAAAATGTCATCCCTATCTCATTCTCTTCAAATTATGTCTGCATTGTGGAAAAAACTTTCCATCTTTTGAATTTACTACATAAGACTTAGCAGTATCTAAATTGATTTAATGAAGACTGCCTTTAAAATAAAATAAACTTTTTTAACATATACAAAAATATTTACAAAGCTGAAAGCTACCTAGCATTTAATTTTGCATATTCAGAGGTTAGTTAAAAATAGGCTCTAAATATACCAAAAAAAGAACTTGGCTAAAAATAATCTCAGTATTGTAATTCTCAACACTTTTACAAGACAAATTTGAAAAAAAAATAATGTCACTTAAATATCTTTATAAACTTATGTTTATAAAATATCTTTATGTTACTTTTTAGATTCTTTATAAAATATCTTTATGTTACTTTTTAGATTCTCTTAGAGTTATCAGTCTTTCAAATGCCAAAGATTTTGGTTTAATACCTGGTCAAAAAATTTGCACTAGTTGCAGAAAAGTTCTGAATTGCAAACATAATACAAAAGAAAATGAACTCCAAGAAAAAGAAATTTATGTTGACAACCATACATTAATAGAAGATCTTAATTCAAGTATTGCAAGTTTTGGATGCTCACCTCTCAAACTTGTTTCAAAAAAAGATAAAGTTGCATATGAAAAGCGAAAAATTGATAGCGTAAGAGCTAATACACAAAAGGCTGAAGCCAATGTGCTAGGTTTAGAAATAGCTGCACTTGGTGGAATTGAATCACCCTCAAAAAAATGTTTGAACAAAAACAAACACAGATTTAGACAATATTATGACTCAAATTAAGTCAAAATTTGAAAAAACATAGTCAAATTCTGAAAAAATCACACTTCTTACACTTACCCCAGACAGTTGGTCAATAGAGAAAACTCAGATGTATTTTTTGACTTCAAAAAGATCTGTAGTACAAGCAAGAAAATTAAGAAAAATACTATCAAAATCTTCTCCAAAACCAGGTAGACAACTTAGGGAAGATGTAATTACAGAGGTTGTTCATTTCTATGAATACGATGAATATTCAAGGGTTTGTCCAGGAAAGAAAGAGTTTGTTTCAGTTAAAGTATATAGTATAAAGCAACACATCCAAAAGCGACTTCTACTAGTCAATATGAAAGAGCTACATATTGAGTTTAAAAAGAAATATAATTATCTTAAAGTTAGATTTTAAAAATTTTGTGAGCTAAGGCCCAAGTGGTGCATTCCTGTGGGTGGTGCTTCTGGTCTGCATGCAGTTTGTGTTTGCCAGTACCATCAAAATGTAATGCTCCTCTTACAAAAAAATCCTGGAATTAATGATTACAAAATCTTATTGAAATTAATGGTTTGTAGCATTGAAAATAGAGATTGTATGCTGCATAGCTGCGATAAATGTCCTGTTAAAGAGGTTTTGTTAGATTACATTGACACTTTGTTTACAGAAAATAAAATTAGTGAAGTTATTTTTTATCAATGGCAAAAATAAATTACCAATGTACTTTAGTACCAGCAACTTTACCTTTAGATTAATTTATTGAAATGGTTTGTGAACAGTTAGGTAGTTTACGAGAGCATCATTTTAGATCAAAAAGTCAAGCCACCTACTACCAACATTTGAAAACTAATTTAAAAGAAAATCAAGATTTAGTTCTTCTTGACTTTGCAGAAAACTATAGTTTTCTAATACAGGATGCAGTGCAAGGTTTTCACTGGAATAACAGCCAGGCAACTGTGCACCCCTTTGTTGCGTATTTTATAAAAGATGGAAAACTTGATAGTCAAAGTTATTGTGTTATATCAGTTCATCTGAAACATGGAACAGATGCTGTTCATTGCTTTATTGATAATGGTATTGATAAACTTAAACAATTACAAACATTTGAACACATTATCTATTTTAGTGATGGAGCTGCATCACAATATAAAAATTATAAAAATGTTATCAACTTATGCTACCATAAACCTGATTTTGACATGACTGCAGAGTGGCACTTTTTTGCAACATCGCATGGTAAAAGCCCTTGTGATGGTGTTAGTGGAACAGTGAAACATCTTGTTCACAAGCCAGTCTACAGTCACTTAACAATCTTATTGACACACCAAGCAAAATGTACAGCTGGTGTGTTCAACATGTCAAAGGAATATCTTTTTTTTTGTTGACAAAGTTTCAATAGAAACACATATTACAAACTTCAATTTGGAAGAGAGATATCATTCTTGTTCTACAATACCTGGGACACGAAACCACCACAGTTTTATCCCAACGTCACTTACCTCAATAAAAATAAGAAGAGTTTCATTTGATAGTATTTGCACTAATGTGGATTTTTCTACTTGCAGAATTTTTATTAATAAAATTTCAACTTACTCACCAAGAGAATATGTTCCCTGAGTTTATAATGCTCAATGGTATTTAGGAAATATTCTTAGTATTTCAGAAGAGCATCAAGATCTTAATATGAAATTCATAAAAAAGTCTTTATGTAACAAGTTCACGCGGCCATGCAGAGATGATCTTTGTTGGGTACCTCTGATGCATATTTTATGCAAAGTAAAATCTCTTAAGGTCCAGTCAAACAGTGGAAGATTTTATAGTATGTCAATACTATAAAAATAGACTTAAAAAAAATCAATGAGATTATTTTATTATTTAAAAAATTTAACTTTTTGTAAATTTTATTAATTTTGTTTATTTTCTTAAAAATATTTTATTTGTTTTTCATTAAAAAAAATGTGCATTATAAAGCGGGGAGGGGACAGAGGGGAGGGGACTTTATCTATTGGGATTTAAAAGGACTTTATCTATTGGGATTATAAGGCTTTAAGCATTGATATTTTTTAATTGATATTTCATGATAAAAAACATTATATAATTCAATGCATTTATTTGTTATGTTAACTTCAGAATTTTATGGAAAATTTACCTGACTTTTAGAGACTACTTTTTGGGAGTTATAAATAAGCGCCCATTAATTTTTTTGGTTTTTATTAATTAACACTCTTTAATTGATGCGTATAAAAAATTTTATGAAAAAAAAAAGTGCTATCTTAGGTAACAGATGCTTTGCATCACAGATCAATTTTACAAAAATCTCGATCCGACTCATTTTGGAGACCTATAACTTTTAAATGCAGCTTTTCGATTAACTGATTTTTTCAAAAATGTTTATCCACCACATGTAGATCAGCAGGCAATTTGATTTGTATTAATCTTTAACAAGTTTTTAAGATTAGGATCATTAAAATCACAAAAAAAATTATTTTAAAAACAAAAATCTCAACTTTAGCCCGCCATTATGGAAAAAGTTTACATGCCAGAATTAATTTTTTTTTTGTTTCCTAAAGTATTCACAGCACACTTGCTAACTAATAATAACTGAAGCATAAAACTAAATTGTTCAAAAGTTATTGGCTGATAAAAATGACAAAAAAAACCTTCTTTCTTGTAGAGTGAAATTTTATGCAAAATAGCCCATTACTTAAATAGCGTTTTCTCAAGAACCATATTATATCTTGATCTAAAATTTTCAAAACATGCTTTTCACATATATATGTACAAAATCAAAAAACTTCAATAAAATCTGAGATGGTCCATAAGGGACCTTTGCACCACTTGGCATGGAATGACCCAAGTATTGTAAGCCCAGTTCTCAACATTATTATTTCTCATTCATATTTCAGGAGTATCTTCAAAAGACCTCAAAGCAAACATATAATAGTTGATAGATGACATTTACTATCTAGTTTATTTCTAACTGTTCACTATTTACAATGACTGAAAAGCTGTACTTTCAGATAACATTTGGTATTTTTTTAATTTAGTATTAAAATAACTTTTAGACTTTATACATAAAAAAGTTAAACTACTTTTTCATATTTCATAGATAAGTGCTACTGGTTGAAATATAAAGATAATCTGATGAGATGATAGGAAATTTTGTTTTCTCTCAAACAAATACATTTTTTTAATATAAACTTTTATATCTATTAGTTGTAATTAGCATGAAAATTGCAACTTTTATGATCTTATGTGTTTATGTTACACAGTATACTGTCAATAATACACATATACTGCCTGAAATGTTAAATGTTGATTTAAATTAGTTTTATTTAAATTAGTTTTATATACTTAAACTATCTTGAAAATATAAACATAAAACAAAGTTTTTAAGTTAAATTAAAATTAACAACCATCTTTCAATTTAATTTTTTCTTCTAACTATTAAAAATTTAACAACTAAATAAAACTTTAATCAAGTGATGTTGGCAAACTAGTGCCTTACATACTTATAGCAAATATTTTAACAACTTATTTTTATTAAAGATTTAGAATCTTCTAAAATTGATAATTTACTAATTGTTTGTAACAGTAATAATAAATCCATCCTCATATCTCACACTTCATTTTAATTTAAAATAGTTTAATATTAAATAAACTAATGCAGATAAAATATTTTTACATTTAAATTGGTTTAATAAAAAATAAGCTGTAGACATAATATGAAATTATCATATATTATTGTAGTTTTATTAGTAAAACTATTATGCATACTATTACTATACCAAACTATTATACTACTATGTAGTGAAAAGTGCTAATAGTATTTAACCTAAATAATGCTAAGTAGTAAAAAGTAGTGAAAGCACTGCGGTTTTAAGGATTATGGTAAGTAATTATTAAGTTCAAGTATGGTAATATAGAACACTAAACGGTTCAAAATATTGTAAACTAAACGACTAAAACACGGTAGGTAGTCTACCGTGTCACTGAAGGTTATTTATCATTATTATCAATTTACTATTACTATAAACGTCTTACCTTAATAAAAAAAAGGCGACTCCAATTCCAAAAGTAAATGACCATACAGAAAACACTAAGAAGGTATACCTAAACAATAGAGTAATTTTTATTTACTTATTAATTAATTTTGAATAGTAAAATATGCAAGTATTTTTCAAACAACAATGTATTAACATTATAAATACAGATTTTAAAAATTACAACTATAGTTAAAGACCATTTTACCTAACCATTGTTAAAGTACATAATATTAATAAGATTATTGATAAAACTCCTATTTGATTTATATCATGAGTTTCCGCCATTTTTGTTTGTATTTATATAATTCATATAAAATTTCACGAAAATACTTTAATTTAATCGATTTACAAACACGAATGTGTTTAGTCCGATTTTAGATCTTTTTAGATTTAGATTTTAGATTTTAGATCCGGCTAGCTTGTCAAAGCTTTCATCCGATTTTAACCGTCATTATTTTTCCGCTACTCGGTGTAGTTAAGACACTTTTAAAATATTATAGAGTCTGTATGATATTTTGTTGACATATTTCCGTTAAATGGTCTAGTCTGTGAATTATGAAAAGAAAAAAAATTAAAATAATTTAATTTTGCGGTATCATAAAATTAAAATGTTTTTAGCGAAAAAACCCAGACCGTGGAATATATATATATTTTTTTAAATCATCTTAAAATCACAATCGCTCTTCCAAATTTAAATAATATTTTATATTAATACGTTTTTTAGGTGAAATGAACATTATAGTTTAACAACATGATCTGCTCTGATTGTTTAATAGCAATTTTTTATAATTATAAGCTCTTTCTTGGTCGGAATTCCAGTTTTTTTGTGAAAATTGATAGAAATATTGTGTTTTGACAACTATATATAGTTAATATAAGTCAGAACTGATTAGAACTAAGATCAGTAGTAAATTAAGAAACTTTTTTAAAAGATTTTAACTAAATTCATGTTAATGCCGATGAGCGGAATGGATCTAAAGACTCCAAAATAGTGTTCTTTAGTTACATTATTACAGGTAGTAAAAAGATTTTGAAAATTATATATAAAAAAAAAAAAGTTTCTTTGAATATTATAAAAATCTTAAGTGAAAAAAATTATAACATTTAAAGATCTTGTTTGGGCATAATATGCTGACAAAACTATGCTTTTCAAAGCATGAAATTTTTGTATATGATTTATAAAATATAGTTTATAAAATATATAGTTTATAAAATATAGTTTAAGTAATGTATGTTTATTTAAAAAACTCCTTGCTTTGTACAAATCATGAAATTTTGAAAAACTATAAAGAAATTATTTTAAAGCAAAAACTATAAAGAAACCAAATAAAAGTATTCAAATATTTTGTAAATCGCCTTAACTACACCGAGTAGTTTTGTATTTAACATATTTCCGTTTTCTTGAAAAACCTTTTTATCATTTAATCCTGACCTTTCTAAAAAAAATCTGAATGCAATTGGTTGGTTGCATTAAATTTTTTTTTGGAAAGTCTCCCATAATGAAAATTCCTTTTGCTGAGCTTCCATAAACTTTTATATTTCAACTTTCATCTTAATTTTCAGCTTTCTATGCATTTAGATTTTTGCGCATGCATTCAGAAATTATGAATATTCATATTTTATGAGTTTAGTCAATTTAAAAGCCGATTTTAGCCACTTATGCAGAATTGGCTAAACTCGGTTTTATACCGGATAGGCAAGCTGTGGTAAGTGCAGCGAAGTGTACGTACACCAGCTGATTTTAATAAGAATAGGCACATGGAGTTTACATACATCAAATAAAGATTTGATTTTAGGCTGATAGTATTGCAAATAAAAAGATAATTTTTAATGTTTTCGGACTTAAAGAACACTGTCGAAATAAAAGTTTGACAAGCTTGTAAACAATAGGTTCTCTTGCAAGAGAGCAGCAGTAGCACAATGTTTAGAGTGCTTGCTTTATATGCAAATGGTTCGGGATTCGATGCAAACACTAGACATATTTTGCTTATTAATAAAGGAGAAGGTGTGAAATTCCCAGTTAAATGCTCTTCCACGATGCGCTGTGACAAGAACGTTATGTCATTTGCGGGGCACTTAAAAGAAAGATATAAACAAAAAATATAAATAACATGAGTTATCCTTTTTTACGTCTTTAAAAATTTCAAGCAAAAAATGTAGCAAAGTCACCTTACACTGTCTGATAATTCTCAAGTAATTCTATATAACAGTAATTATTGACAAATTAAAAAAAAAAATTAGCATTTGAATGTAATGCCGGAAAGTCAATCGAGCACCTGTTTTTTAGTGAAGATTTCAATATTGTGTATTTTGCTTTTGTCTGATCAAAGTTATAAAAAACTAAAGCCTTTTTTTCTAAAAAAAAACTTAATATTCGTTTTTTAAAATATTTTTTACATTATGTAATTTATATGAAGCCACTTTTGGAGTCGTTCCTTTGACATACTAAATCAACGATATACTTTATAAAAAATAAAGTGGTTTCTTTTTTTTTTTTGTTTATAAACATAATCCGCCATTTGTAAAAAGGTCAAAAGTTGAATCCGATGCGTGGAATGAAAGTTAAAAATGCAAGTTCAGAGCATCAAAAGTTCCCAAAAAGTTAAAGATTACAGTTACTTATTGTAATTACTAAAACACGTTTTAGCAATTACAAAATACTTATAAAGGTTTTTTTATGAGCCTAAAAAGTATTTTAATTCATAAAAATGCTTTAAAATGCGTCTGTCGTTTCACTATTCTACTCAAAATTTTAATCCCTTTCTAATCGGAAATGAATTTAGGAAACATAAACTATTATTTTACAAGTATTCCAATTTCCTCTTAAAAATTTTACATAAATAGCATTTATATTTAAATTATATTTACTTCATTTAAGAAAAGTTAAATAATACTTGTTTACGAACTTAATCCGCCATTTGTAAAAAAGGCAAAAGCAGCTTCACTTTACGGATCGAAGTTAGACATCTGGCTTATATAATATATCGTTGTACTAAATATCGAAATGACAATCCAAATAAATTCAGCCGCATTTTTTTCTTTCCAAAATATATATTTTAAACTATTTTCATTAAAAATGTGAGATAACATTTTTATTCGTATATGTTAATGTGCTCCTTAATTTGTTTTTATACTCTTTCCTGTTTCTCTAGAGACATTTTTAATCAACTCGATAATTTTTCTTACTTATCAGCTTAATAACAGCAACAGTGTGGTATGAACATAGTTCTGAACCCAACCATTTTTAAATATATATGCACTAAAAATTGTAACTCGTCAACCATCGAAAAAACTGTTTACAAAAAAAAATTACACCCAAAAGGTTACACCATTCATTATAACTGTATAAAACCTAGGCATTTTTTATAGCGTATAAACTTATGCGTATAAAATTGCGTCATAATATTTAAAAAAACCAATTGGCGTTTTAAGATACAAGATAATATAAGGTTTCTTTTTCATGCATTTGTAAGTTATTTTGCTTAGTTGTTATTTGAAAAGCCATCGCTTTTAGCTAATTTTCTTAGTAATTTTGCCGGCAAAATTACTGAGAAAATTAGCCAAAACGGTTTCAAAATTGGATTCTGTAAAATATATATTTAATTTTAACTCAATATCTGATTTTTAAATTCATGACTTTAATTTGTGTAAACGTTTCTCTGCAGGTAAACTTCCATTGATCTGGAGAAGCCCTATACTCCGAGTAAAGATTGACGTATATCTACGGTCCTTCCATGGTTTATGTATCGACGGTTACTAAAACATTTTTCATTTAAATTACATGCTTATTTTTCTTTAATTATTTACTGTCGAATAGTATCGCTATAACTATTGAAAATTTTTTGTATAGTTTTGGATTGTGAAATGTCATTACTTAAGTTTATGCCTTCAATAATTTTCGTAGATCATCGGGTATTATAAAAAGTATGAATGAAAGCCCATCAAGCACTTTTTATTCTATCTATTTTTGCAGCCAGCTTGTCAGAATTTTTTTTTTAATATTGAGTAGTTTCTGGATTACACGTAATTTGACCTATATGCACGGAAAATACCATTATGATTTTGTGATATTGCATCATGATTGGTTTTTAGGGGAAGATTGCGTATGTTGAGCAAGTTAACAGTGTATTGTTTTTTCGCAATTTTCGGTATAAATATTTATGCAAAAATATTTATACCAAAAATTGCGTTATTTTGAACATCTCATCTTAGAAAACTAGTTTCCTAAGATGAGATTTTTTAATGAACTCAAAAAAATTCAAAATAAAAAAAAAAATCACAAAAAATGTTAAATAAAACTGTATCTTCAAGGATTATACTTAAGTAAAAAGTAATTATCTCAACCATCAAAAAAACAATCATAAATCATCAATCATTTAAAAAAACAGGTTTTGCTTAATAAAAAACTGCATCTTATCCAGTGGCGCAACTATAAATTTGGGTCCCCCCTGATAAAAAAGTAAAGAGGCTCTCCTTACATTTTTTCCCGTAGGGATAGGGGCCATCCATAAAGTACGTACGCAGGTATTAGGGAAAGAGGTTAGGTTTCCCAAAAGCGTATGAACGCGTACAAGGGGGGAGGTAGTGTTAAAGACAGTATGTACGTAAACAGTTGACTATATCTCATAAACTTGATTTTATTTTTTTAAAAAACATTGAATTTCACGTGTGTAACAAATCAGAGTTGATTTTTTTTCTCTGACTTCAGTCACAATTTTTTTTTAATAGTCTCTATAATCAATGAAGATAGAAAAAAATTATGTTTGGAGAACCTGCGAAAGAGTACAGGTTCGTACAAGGGGGGAAGGGGAGTCCTAAATTAGTGGTTTTACTGCGTACGTACTTTATGGATGCCCCCATACGTGAAAAATTATAAATTCATTAAATGTATTTGATAAAACAGAAATTAGTAACACTCATATTATTATTACCAGTCATATTATTCATATGAGTAGAATTTGTAAATCTCCGCGGGGCCCTCTAAGCTCCGGGATCCCCCCCCCCGCCTTGTGGGGTTATGCTCTATCTTAGTTACGCCACTGATCTTATCTTGAGCGTCTAAAAACGCATCATTTTAAGCAACTTCACCAAGAAATATCATAATTTAAATAGCATGACAACAGCTTATGCATTATCACTTGTAACCCATGAATTACCAGTAGATAAGCATAAAATATTGAGGGTGTAATAAATTTTTGATGATCTTGTTTCGTTTTGACGTAATTATAAAATATTAAATGATAAAAAATTATAACGGGGATAGTAAACTTTTTTAACAGTAAAAAAATCAAAGAATATTAACTATACAAAGAAACTAAAGTAAATAAAACATTTATTATCAAACATATATACTAATAGACCAAT